AGTGGCTGTTGATTCATATCCGGCGGCAAATACAACAAACCCCTGCGCTATCATCTCATCTTCTGTTATGAATTTATTTGTTTTCTTTATATTCAATATTTTCTTATTTATCTCTAATTCTTCTTCATCTAAAATATATGTAATATATATATTTAATATTAATACATATTTTATACTAATTTTAGTGTTTATATGTGTGAATACAAACCTTCATTGATGTGATGAGACTCATGTCTATTACTCTCATCATTACTGTTGTCTTTTCCATCCTTCGCTCTCATCATGAGATCAATTAAATCATTAGATTTTGTCTCCGATTTCTCCCTAACTTTCAGTATGTGTCGTAAAATTGAAGAGAAAAAATTCACGTACTTTTCATTAATAAAGGTTTTAATTTTCAACAAATTGAGCGCAAACTGAGGCAACAAATAACCCAAAATTAATTTGACGATGGGGAATTTAAACACATTTCTACCGTTAGTTACAAACGGATTGTTTGGATCTTTAAAAGCGTTGATTTTTGTAGCGAAAGCGCAGTTTGCGATCACATCCATAGCCAGACAGCCGTACATCTCCTTAACATTGACTTCTTGTTTGTCTTTCGCGTATTCATTGACTGCATTAATAAACCCCTCCACAGACTGTCTGACCATTGGATACATTCTCCGCATTTTGCCGGAAGTGAATACAGGAGTGGTTATGGATCGGACTCTCTTCCAGTCGTCGCCCTGAAGTTCACTTAACATTTTGCCGACAATCGGGTGTTGTTTGCTTCGGGATAATGTCTTTCTGTCCGTAAATATATGAAAATCTTTAACAAGAATTTGTTTAATGAGTTTCGGTTCCGCCACTTGTAGTAAAGGTTTGTTGCCTTCAAATATTCTGCGTTTAAAATAATGAATGTTTTTATAATTTTTTTAAAAATTTTAGCATATTTTTTTACCCATAAATTTTGCCGTATTTTCGTTGCCATTTGATTTCCAAATCGGGCAGTGGTGTCAACAAACGCTCCCATAGATTGCCAACTATTGGCAATGGTCTAGGTCCGTTTAATCCCAATTTTGTAAAATAATTCAAATGCCTGGTCAAATACCTACATTGGTGTAACACAGGAAATATTTACATTTATTAACTAAATTATTTGAATTTACTTTACCAATATATAATAGGTATAAATGATAAAATAGTGTACAATTCCCAAGAATTTTTAAACATTTCCATCATCATTATCATAATAATATTTAGCTTCCAAATTAAAACTTTTATATATATATTTTCTAAATATAAAAATTTTATAAAATTCTACTTTACTTATATTGCTTTAAAATATAACAAAAAATAACTTACTATTATAGTTATTTTATTATAACTAAATAATAAAAAGTACATAAATTACTCTCTTTATATTGGCAAGTTAATGAGTACATTTATATTACGTAAATTTTATCTAAATTAAAAGCATAAATGTAGAATTGCACTCAATTTGATTAATCAAATTGGTTTTGTTTATAGTTACTTAAAATTAATGTTAGATACTATTGTGAAAATTTTTACTTTTTTTTATAACTGACTAGTAGTTAACACGGGTGACAAGTTGTCAATTGATCAAGGTGGTCTGGATATAGTCAATCACAGCACAAACTGTCATCCGGCAATCATTAGTTGTTTATCGCAACATATTATTATGAAATTATACAAACATAACTAATATTAATCTAAATATAAAATAAATTAACTTTACATGACGTATATAAACATAATGGCACAATCAACATACATCAAACATACAACATACATCAAATGTATGACATGCATTGAAGGCACTAAAGACACATCTACCATAAATGTCAAAATTAATTAATCAATATGCATGGACTATAAAACGATATGTTGTGTAAAAAGTCTATACATTAATTACAAATTCATACTATGGTTATTAACGCATTCCTAATTGGTGAACTGATAATCAGTTGACCAATTAAGATTCATGTTACAATAAAAGTTTGAATTACTAATGAGTATTGGCTGATCAATAATTCTTTAAGTTGCGATTGATTAAAAGTCAAATTTACCAAGATGAGTCATGACAAGTTGTCAATTGATCAAGGTGGTCTGGATATAGTCAATCACAGCACAAACTGTCATCCGGCAATCATTAGTTGTTTATCGCAACATATTATTATGAAATTATACAAACATAACTAATATTAAACTAAATATAAAATAAATTAACTTTACATGAGGTATATGAACATAATGGCACAATCAACATACATCAAACATACAACATACATGACGTACATCAAATGTATGACATGCATTAAAGGCACTAAAGACACATCTACCATAAATGTCAAAATTAATTAATCAATATGTATGCACTATAAAACGATATGTTGTGTAAAAAGTCTATACATTAATTACAAATTCATACTATGGTTATTAATTGTGAGGGGATTTGAAGGTAAAAATCAGGAATAATAAACAAATACACTATGTCTCAGAACTAAATTAAAATGAGAATTATAGGTGAACACATTTATTAAAATTAATTTTGCCATCTAATCAATTTAAATAAAAATGTTTTGTAATAGCCAGTGAAAAGTACATTTAATATGGTACTGAATTAAACATATAGTTAGATTTAAACAATTACCAATCAATTAATTTTTACCAATTTGCAAAACCTGTCATATTTCAAGTCAGTCAAAAGTATGTGCCAAAAAGTTTATTATTATAATAATTATAATTAAAATTTACCGATTTTTAAATTTGTTTAACCAAAATGTATATCAGATAAGTGGTAATAATTTCCAAAAATGATTGTTTGAATTTTGACCACGAGTTGCCATCGCCACCCTCCCGAAACTAGTGTTATATTCAATGGGTCGGTCGGCTCGAGGACCCGCTAGAAATGGACAGTGGTTTATATTAATTTTTTTGGATTTAAATTCATACACTGAATGTTTATCTATCATTGTACAAAGTTAGTTGTAATTTTCCGTCACGTGCTGTTCAGTTCCAGACATATTTACAACACACTCCCTAAAACTCCCATTGAAAAGCATTAAGGATAATTTGTGATCTCGGTGTTAGGTCTGAAACTGGACAGCTCGTTATGGGAAATGAGAAATAACTAATTGAGGTGATAGATAAACATTCATTGTATGAATTCAAAGCCAAAAAAATTAATATAAACCACTGTCCATTTCCAGCGGGTCCTCGAGCCGACCGACCCATTGAATATAACACTATTTTTGGGAGGGTGGCGATGGCAACTCGTGGTCAAAATTCAAACAATCATTTTTGGAAATTATTATCACCTATCTGATATACATTTTAGTTAAACATATTTAAAAATCGGTAAATTTTAATTATAATTAATCTAATAATTAACTTTTTGGCACATACTTTTGACTGGCTTGAAATATGGCAGGTTATGTAAATTGGTTGATATTAATTGATGAGTAATTGTTTAAATTTAATTATGAGTTAAATTCAATAGCACTTTAAATGTACTTTTCACTGACTATTCAAAAAATTTTATATTTAAATTGATTTGATGGCAAAATTAAATTACCAAATTGTGTTTTCCAATAATTTTCATTGTAACTTAATTCTGAGTTTTAGTGTAAGTGTTTTATACTTATTTACTGATTAATATTTACTGATTTAGCAATTGGTAATAATAAAATCAATAAATGTACATAACGGTATTTATTATATTAATTATATTAATTAAAATTAAAATACATAAAAAAGCCGATTAGGTAATTGTTGAGAATAAAATCACTAGATGTACATACTATATAGATGTATATTGTACATTATTGCTGACTAAAAATGTTTAATTATACCTATTTAAATTAAGCATTTTAAACACACAACTATTTAATAATTTATTTTATAAGTAGGAAATTTATATTTATAAAACGGCATTTAATTAAAAATGAATTGTAATTATTAAAATTAATGGGCATTTATAAAAGTCTGATTTACGTTTATAAGAGGAAACTGGTAATCTAATTAAATGATTTTATCCATTTTCATATAATAACTAATAATTAAACTATGATATAATATATAACCAATTATAAAATCAATAGACATTAAAAATCCAAAAATTCAATTGTAATTAAACGAATTTATAGATGAGATATTAGAAGAGCCAGTGATTGGCATTATAATGATATTTATTGATTGATTTTGACATAAAAATATGCCTATTGACCGATGTTATTACATAAACATTAAATTAATTATGCAAATTATTAAAATATAGTCCCTAAACAATAACGGTATTTATTATCTTATATACGTATATAAATGTTAATAAAAATATTTATACTATTTCATGACAAATGGTTAATTAGGTTTTAATATATCAATACTTAAACTTCTACATAGAGTATAGCAATAACTCAATCCCTAATTTTAATGCCAATTATTATAGATTTAGCACTTTTTAGAAGTGAAACTTTACTTAATATTAAGGGAACGTCTGTTTGTGGACATCGGCTAAACTGAAACCTCCGTATGATATGAGCCAAACATAACTTCACTTCCATTAATGCAAACCTCATTCCAATGCAATTTCGAGGACCGGAAGTGAAGGGCAGATAAGTGTAGGGAATTATTTTGTGACGATTTTCGGGTAGAAAGCGGTCGGGAATAAACATTTCGGGGTTTGGATAGTTTTGCTTCGAGTGATGAATAGCATAGATCGGTATTTCCACTGTTTGTCCCTTTTGTATAATAATCCCAGTGTTTCCCAATTTGTAGTCTTGTGCCGCAATGTTTCCTACTTTAACAATAGGTGAATGAAGTCTAAGAGTCTCAGCGATGACTGCATCCAAAAACGGGAGTTTTGTCAACACTTCGTAATCAATCTCTCCGTTTGTGTCCAACGAAGACATCACTTCTTCGTATAGGTTTTGCTGAACGTCTGGATTGAGTGCCAATTCATAGGAACAGACGGACAGAGTGGTGGCTACGGTCTCATATCCGGCTATAAACACAACCAATCCCTGCGCTATCATCTCATCCTCTGTTATGAATTTATTCGATGGCTTTATGTTCAGTATTTTGCGCGTAATTTCAAATTCCTCTTCGTCTAAAGTATAAGCAAGAAATATATTTAATAAAAATTAAAATTTTATCAACCTTAAGCGATTATATGTGTCATAACAAACCCTCATAGATATGATGAAACTCATGTCTATCGCTCTCATCATTAATGTTTTCCTTTCCTTCCTTTGCTCTCATCATGAGATCAATCAAATCATTGTATTTTGTCTCTGATTTCTCTCTAATTCCCAATATTTGTCGTAAAATTGTAGAGAAAAAATCGACTGACTTTTCATTCATTAAAGTTCTAAATTTCAATATATTTAACACAAACTGAGGCAATAAAAGCATAGAAATAAATTTCAAAAACGAAAATTTAAGCGCATTTCTTTCATGAACTACAAATGGATTGTTTGGGTCTTTGAAAGCATTGGTTTTTGTAGCGAAAGCGCAGTTTGCAATCACATCCATAGTTAGACAGCCGTACATATCCTTAACATTAACCTCATGTTTATTTTTCAGGTATTCACTCAATGTATTCATAAACCCCTCCACAGACTGTCTGACCAATGGACACATTTTTCTCATTTTGCTGGAAGTGAATACAGGACTGGCTATGGATTGGACTCTCTTCCAGTCGTCGCCCTGAAGTTCAGCCAATATTTTCCCCACAATCGGGTGTTCTTTGCTTTTGGAAATTGACATTCGGTCCGAAAATATATGAAAATCTTTAACAAGAATTTGTTCAATGAGTTTCGGTTCCGCCACTTGTAATAGGGGTGTGTTTC